GGGATGGTCTTGGTTTCAAATCAAATCTAAAATTCTTTAAATTATTATTCAACATGGGAGAGATTTTCACTTATGTTTTTTCTTGGTTACATTATTCAAGATGTTTTTCTCTCTCTCTCTCCTTGTCTCATCTGTTTGGATTAGGATTTAAATTTTTGACGAATTCCTCTCAGCAAAAATTAATATTTTTTTATCAGTTCAGAATTTGTTGTATTTTTTTTTTCTTGATTAAGCTTTCCTTGCACTGTTTGCACCATTTCGCAGGAAGAGAGATTTTCTCTATTTGTAGAGTGGTGATTTCTTATTGTCGTTGTTTTCAGGCAAGAGAGAAAAATAAATTGCTAAAACAATTTTTAAAATATCTGGTAATGTACACACCAAGATTGTGTGTGTTAAAAGCTCTTAAAAATGTAAAATAAAATGCTCTTATAGACATAAGAAAAGAAATATTAAAATATATTTTACTATGTTTAATTTTGATTAATCTTGTAATGGACAAACTAAAGGAAAGTGACAGAATTTGATGCTTTTAAAACTGATAGTAAAAGAAAATAATATTTTTCTAAAAACAAGTTTCATTTTTTTTATTGAAATTGAATTTCTCAAACACCTTAATTTAGAAACTTGTTTTTAAACAGATATTGTTTTGAGATTTAATTGTGTGTGTGTGTGTGTGTGTGTGTAAGAAAAAGAGAGAGCAAAGAGTAATGAACTTCAACTGCTTTTTCTATTTTTGTCTTCACTTTTTGAAACTGATATTGCTGAGTACTTCCTGTCTGCAAACCATAGTTTTTTTTTTTTCACTGCTAATGACCCTGGCTGGTCAGTAAACTTCTTACAAGTCATGTGTCCACTCACTTGGTTAACTTAATTAGAACAATCTTGGCACACAGTTTTTTAGAAAGAAGAAAAGGAAAAAAACAAAAATGGAGAACAGTTTGAGGCCAAGTTGCTGAATTTTGCTTTCTTGCAAGTTGAAAATTATAGTCCTTCTATTGAAAATCATGAAGGGATTGTCTGAGGCCAGGAATTAATGAAAGCATTACTGACAGAATAGGTCTATAATTTGTATAATGTAAATGTACTGCTAATGATTTACCATTAAATTGCACTGAAAACCAGGATGAAAGAGATTGTCAGAAATTTGCACATTACTCAGAGATTATGGTTAATGTACAATGTAAGTGTATTGCTAATGATTGTATTATAAAAATACATGGAAAATTAGGAAAAAGGGGATTGTCTGTGGACAGGAATTAATACAAGCATTATTGCCAAGTCTGCTATTTCATACACAGTGTAAATGTGTTGCTAATGATTTTACTATAGAAATAATACCTTGAAAATCTGAAAGAATGTAATTTTTCAGTAAATATTGTTAATAAACATCACTTATTTGGTAGCAAGGATCTAATCTTTGTGTTATACAATGAATCTCTGCCATATTGTTAAACAATATAACTCTCTCCATAAAATTCATGTCAGTCTGCGTTTCTTTCCATGATAGGTGATGATTTAGTGAATTGTTTCTTGCAGGCATTATCGTCGACTGTTGTTACAAGACTTGAACTGTGATTTACAACTTGAACTATCTTATGTAACAGAAGTCATTCAAGAACATCCCAAAAACTATCAAGTGTGGTATGTATAAAATTCATAAATTTCTCGTATGCAAATATATGTATTGCAAAGCAATCTAAAAAGAGTGATAGAACCCAGTTTTGTGCGATTAACAGACAGCAAGAGAGATGAATACAGATAATGGGTTCAATAAATACATGGGATTGCCAAGTGCAGGGTTGGTCGTATACCCCCCCACTCCACTGAATTTATGATATGGGAGGGGCACACTACTACAGCTTAATTTTCATAAGGTCGTATTCATATATAAGATACAAAATTTTATTGTCCCCTAATTATGTACAATAATAGATCATATGCAATATATGTGAACAATTCAACTAAAGAAGTTGAAAATAAATTAAATTTATCTAAAAACAAACTAGACTTGTTATAATAGATCATTCCATCTTAAATAAATCGGTGTTTTACAGCAATTTTTAATATCAACTGGTTTTTTTCTTGCTAAAAGTTGAATAATTTTAATACATTCACAATTATAGAGAAAAAATAGTGAATTTTATATAATCTTTTTCTAAGACTTAGCATGAGCAAAACTAATTCCCAGATTTGGACCAAAAAAAAAAAAATAACAATACCCCATAATGACACCAAAATCTGCAAAAACTTTTCATCCTTTTAATAGTCAGTTGTGCTTAGTTTGAAAGCAAATGTTGATCAGATAGCAAGGGTTACAAAGCACTGCCTGTCAAGCTTAGACTTCTGCCCAGTCAATAGGTTTAGGGTTGTACACACCAGCTATGGTCAAGTTTTTAACTTTTTGATCACTGAATTCCTGATGACCAAATTTAGACATTTTATTTATAAACTCTCAAATCATTTGTTCAAACTTTGTTTTTAATGACCAATCCATTCTATCAATCCATTCTAGATTTTCTTTCTTTTTTTTCTTTTTTTTTTTATATTTGACCAGCATGGTCAAATTAGACAGAAGTCCTATAGTCCAACTAAAATTAAATTTTACTCTTTGTATTTATATCAATTCATGGTAATTAAGATATGGTATATGTATAATAAGTGAATCAGGAATGTTTTTTTTCTTATATCAGAATCTAAATACATGATCTATAACATACTGATGAGGCAAAACATTATGACCAAAGTCCAGAATGATATATGTTGTAGTGATGGGTGTATATATATATATATATATATATATATACACACACACACACACACACACACACAGTGGAGTTGAATAAGTGATAGTTATGCAAATTTTTATATTTCGAATAGTGGGAAAAGTGTTCATACAGTATCAATTTTTGCATTATGGTAGATTTTGGTTGTACTTCAAAGTAGAAGATTCTAAACTGTTCTAGAATATTCTCAGTAACTCTATTGCAACATTCAGTTCAAAATTGGATCATTCTGCAGTTACTGTTCACTGATAACAGTTCTAATAATGGCTAGATGTAAGGAAATGACTTGTGCTCAAAAAGAGCTAATTATTAAGCTATGGAACAATGGAAAATGTTACAGAAACATCTCCAGTGACACGAACATACCTTTTTCAACAATTGGTTCATTTATTGCAAGATTTAAAAGACATAATACTGTTGAGAACAAAGGCAGACCCGTTGCTCCCAGGAAGTTCTCTCCCAGATTATGAAGAAAGTTGATGTGACATGTCCAAAATAACCCAATGGCCATCAGATAAGACCTTCAGAATAATCTGAGTTTGTCAGGAGTTAGTGTGACTAGGCAAACGATTAGTAATGAACTATGCAGAGACGGTATAAAGTCGTGCTCCCCAAGAAAGACACCACTCTTTCTGAAACAGCATAGAGATGCCTGGTTGAAATTTGTGAGAGCATAAAGATAAGGAAAGAGTTCTTTGAACAGATGAGAGTAAAAGTGAGTTGTTCGGTCGCAATTCCCTGAATCATGTATGGAGGAAAGACAGCAAAGCATACGCACCCAAGAACACCATACCAACTGTCAAATTTGGTGAGGGTAGTATCATGGTTTGGGGCTGCTTTTCGATGTAAGGTGTTGGCAAACTAGCAATTATAAACTGTAGAATGAATGCAGAAAAATGTCAACAAATCCTAAGCGAAAATTTATCGCTTTCTATAGAGAATCTTGGGCTTCCCCCTGATTGGATCTTCTAGCAGCACAATGATCCCAAGCATACTGCTAAGAGTATGAAGGATTGGCTTGCTAATAACAACGTTAACATTTTACATTGGCCCAGTCAGTCGCTGGATTTGAATCCAATAGAGAATTTATGGCGGTTTTTGAAAAATAAGATCAGTGATGGAGGTCCAACAAATATCAAAAACCTGAAGGCAATTATTCAGGCAGAATGGGACAAAATACCTACTAAAGTATGTGAATCATTAATTAAAGACTAAAGGAAGAGATTGGTTGCTGTTAAACTTAATAAAGGCTTTGCTACAAAATATTAAATGGAGAAAACATGTTTTTGTTCTGCTGTACGATCATTTTTTAAACCCCTAAAAATTTAAATATTGCTATATTTTCTTAACCATGGAATATTATTTAGTTTTATATTTGCATACATTTTTATTATGCAATCTGATACAGTAGATATATTCCCATTTTGTTAATTTAATATGTTACAAATAAAAAATATGAAATATTTTCATGTGTACAATCACTTATTCAACCCCCTGTACATATATATATATATATATATATATATATATATATATATATATATATATATATATAAACCAATAGTTCACCCTTGAGTGGTTCTTTTTTGATGTGTTGAATGCCATAGTTGTGAGTCACATTGTACAGGGAACCTTTGTTTCAATGTGATGTGTCTGTAAACTGCGATACACTTTATTCCATATAGAGCTGCATAGTACCAAAACAATGATAATTTGAGTAAATGTTCTGCTGAGAAACCCTTGGCATTCTCATTCATGTGGAAGATATTTTGTTGCATGTCACAAACCTCAACTCGTTATTAAATACCAGGTACACTTGTTTGTGACAACAGTCTTTTACAAATGATAATGGCATCTTTCACCAGGATAATTTATTCTGCTATCTTGCACAAGTTTATGAGTATGGTTTCGGTGAACTGAAGATTTTGCTGTATTACCCTGGCTACTAAACTTGCCAGATTTCATTCTTGACCACTTAATGACCAATAAGTTTGCTTTGAAACCTCTTCCACTGAAGGACCTGGCACTTCACCCCTGGGATACAAATTTAGATATCTTGTAGAGTCTGTTTGATCAGGTAATAGCTCTTTTGCTGCAGTCACATGGAGAACAAACACTTCAATAGGTAAGTATAGTCATAATGCTTTAACTTATCAACCTATGCAATTCTGTCAGGCTCTAAAATCATGGACATTGTACAAAATAAGTTTTGTATGTATGTATGTATGTATGTATCTATCTATGTATGTATGTATGTATCTATCTATGTATGTATCTATCTATCTATCTATCTATGTATGTATGTATCTATCTATGTATCTATCTATCTATCTATCTATCTATGTATGTATGTATCTATCTATGTATCTATGTATGTATGTATCTATCTATGTATCTATGTATGTATGTATCTATCTATCTATGTATGTATGTATCTATCTATCTATCTATCTATGTATGTATGTATCTATCTATCTATGTATGTATGTATGTATCTATCTATCTATGTATGTATGTATGTATCTATGTATGTATGTATCTATCTATCTATCTATCTATGTATGTATGTATGTATGTATGTATCTATGTATCTAAAGCTAGATATAAATATAATCTCTGCATCAAAATTATTTTCTTTACCTAGGCATCATCGACAGGTGATTGTTGAGTGGTTGAATGATGCCTCAAAAGAATTGGCTTTCACATCTAGTATCCTATGTATAGATGCAAAGAATTACCACGCATGGCAGCACAGGTAAATATGTTTATGTAATAAATCATAGCAGGTTTTCATCCTTATCAATGTCATCAGGTAATTTCTCCTTTTGATTTGGTTATACAATAAATCTTTGAAATATTTTTAACTGAAATTCTTTAAAATAAAATAAATAAAAAAATGTGGAGTCTCTTTACACTTGTATTAGACCACAATTTTAAGTTTTATTGTCTGAAAAACATTAAAATAAAGTTTGCTAAATTTGAAACAATTCTCACTGGCCCCAGACACAGATGATCACCAATGCAATATCAAAAAAGATATCAAAAAAAAAAAAATTTTTGTTGTCAATTTATTGCTTTATGTTGAGAAATAAATTCTGCATAAAAGGTGATCACTTTATCAGGTTATTTACTGATGAAGCTTGAGAAGAAACACACAGACTTGTGGAGGAACAATTCTGATATTTGTGTCTTCGAAGTGTTTCCAGCCAGGAACAACAATCACTAGTGAGGCATATAAAAAGTCAGTTTCTTAGAATCCAAAATGTGTTGATTAAAAAACCACTTAAATGAATTTCCTTCAAGGCAATACATGATGATGATATTGTGTAAGCTAACTGGAGAGCCTTCATTCTCATTCATCAAATAACTTGGATATATCTGATTCTCCATTTTCTCTTTATATAATTGTTTCATCAAAAGATTTATAATACAGAAGCACTAAAGCTGGAGCTTCACAAACATTTTTTTAAATTCATTTAATATTGACTATTTTCTCAATTCATTTTAGAACTCTGGCCAATCCAAGGACTGTTAGAGTGGTGGGCCTTACCCTGCCACCTTAGTCTATGATGTATTGCCCCTACCAAAGCTAAAGTCTGTCTATTTTACTCATAGTTGGGATGGGGAGAAGTAGTGAATTCATACTTTCCCTCATGTGAAGTGAATGCAACATCCTTGGCCAGAATTTGAACTTGGCCTATACCAATAAACTTTCTCTCTTATATATGATGTTTTGCAATGGTCAGACTCAACATTGAAATGGCACCCATCACACACACACACACACACTTTAAACTGCAAATATTTGTATAATTGTTGGTTTTTTTTTTTTTTTGGAGGGGGGGTTCTTACTATTTTATGTAAATCTTTGACAAACTTTTTGTGTAACTCATTTTGTCCATTAGGTCTTTATTGGACAAAAGTGATGTTGATGTGATTACACATGCACATGAAGGAGAGGGGGACACTGAAATTTTAATTTTTTTTTTCAAATGTGTTTTGGGTATAATAGTCTTGCCGATTTCATTTATTTAAAATTTTTTTCTACTTAGTTATAGATTTTCCTAAAATTGTTTTTGATATATAAAAATTTATATAGTGTTTTCCTATTTTTTTTTTTTTTTTTTTACTGTACCAAGTTAGCTCCCATACATTTTGTGTATATGCAGACTCACACACACACACAGAGGATGTTGAAAAGTTCTCACCATAATTGACTTTCCATAATCAGTATTTCAATGATCAAATTTTTTGAGGAAGTGGATTGAGCTGAGAACTTCTTGACACTCTTTTGTATGTAGATGAATATGTAAATATAAGAATATATTCTGAATTTGACTACTTACCTATGTTATACATTTTTTGTTATAATTGGGTTTTTTGTGGTTTTCTTTATCTCTTTCTTTTTAAATGTTTCAGCTAAGAAGATATTTTTGTGATAAATTCCATCTTGTATAAATTTCTTCCATTGGATGTTTTGTCATTGTTTTGTTGCTTTTTTTTTTTTTTTTTTTTTTACAGACAGTGGGTGTTGAAAACGTACTCCCTGTGGGACAAAGAATTAAATTATGTTGATAAACTTTTGAGTTTAGATCTCCGCAATAACTCTGCTTGGAATCATAGGTACTTTGTCATCTGTAACACAAGCAAATATACAGATGAAGTTATAGAGAGTGAGATTAAGTAAGTGCAAACTTTTCACTATATATATATATATATATATATATATATATATATATATATATATATATGTATATGCAGTATAAAGATATCATTAGTGTTTATTTTTTTGATTTGTTTTAATTAAAAAGATTACAAATGTTGCTCTCTTAAAGTGCCCAATTTGGGCCTCAAATGATGAGGTAATCTCCAAGGTGACAACAGCACTAAGTTATTCTTGGGTAACATTAGTAAACAGAGTATGTGAACTCTGAAGATCACAAGACTTCAGTTTGTAATTGATGCAGGAATAAGACTGCCAGCAACTGATTGGTTTATTGGTTGATTTTGTTTAGTGGCATATCAACCTCGAAAGGTTATTTAATGCTGAAATCTAAATATTTTGAACACAATTTAATAGCTTAAACTAAATATATTTTTAGCACAATTGTATGCTTTCAACTAAAGATAAACTGTATTGTTGGTCATTTTACTATAAAATGTATTGCCAGTCATTTTCCTTTAAAATTGTTGGTAATTTTACTATAAATAGGTATTGTTGGTAATTCTTTTTATATAAAAATGTATTACTGGTAATTTTACTATAAAAATCTATTTTTATACTTTGATAGTGTTTTGAATTTTGTTTGGGTTTTCAGCATTTACCCATAGCTGGAACTCTAACAGGTGCTATCAACCCAAGTCAGGATGGACCTGGGAACAACAGCAATTAAGACATTGTTCCACACTCCTCAAAATCTCCATTATCCTGATCAGAGGCCTTGCTGCCAATGCCAGCAACTGAAAAAGAATAGTAACAACATGACAAAGAGGAACGTTAAATGAAATGTTTTGACCACTTCATTTTTGTAAACCACTCTCAATAATTGACTTTCATGGGAAGGATCTTGGTACATTGTAGATTTCTTTATATGTTGCCCTACTAGTCACCTTCTGTGACTCTTATGAGAGCAATTCATTGAGTGGAAGGGTGGAAGTAATAACCAACATCTTTCCTCTATAAAATTCTCAATTCTTTGTTGTAAATTCTACTTTTTTTATTTATTTTTTTTTTTTTTGAAGAAAACATTCATGCCAGAATAAAGATTATGAGAGCAGGCTGAAAAACTCATAGTCTGACTATGAACATATGGTGCTAGAGTTGTAAGATTTTGCATACATTAATTTCAACTCTTGTTATTAATAACTGCACTGTTTCTTTCCAGGTAAACTAACATCTAACTGTTCTAAGAAGACCTCAAAAGTAACTTGTGGTGACTTCTGTTGGAAATGGACAAATTTGGCATTATAGTATTATCAAGTATCTGCAGAAAAATAGTTTAGCACCTTAAGGACATTCATGCTGGCATCATTGTTGCATTAGGAGATGATGTTCCATCTTTATCAACAGTGCAAAAGGGGGTAGCTGAATTTAGGAGGGGAAGGGAGAGTTTAGAAGTTGACCCAAGGCCTGGGTGTCCAGCAACTGCCATCACCAAGGAAAACATTGATTGTGTTCACCAGATGTTGATGGATGACAAGTGGTTGAATATAAATCAAATAGCCAATGCTATTAACATATCCCGTATGAGAGTTGAGAATATTCTGCATAATGAACTTGGCATGACAAAGGTTTCTGCTCGGTGTGTGTCATGTCTTCTGACACCTGATCAAAAATGTACCATACTGATCACATCATGGGGAAAATTTGACATTGAGGTGGATCCAGCCAGTTTCCTTGAACGTTTCTTAACCCAGGATGAGTGTCGGGTTCATTACATTGAGACACTTCAAAGTAGGCCAAGGTCATTTCATCTTCAAAAAGGCTATGCCATCAATGGATAGTACTATACCAACTTACTGAGGCAGTTACAAAAGGCTCTCAAGACCTATACGCCCAGAAAGACTGACAAGAGATCTTGTTTCACCAGAAACACAACTCCTTAGTTTTAATGGTTGCTCTACATGACTGTTACTTTGGACTGGCTGATCACCCTCACTATTCTCCTGATTTGACTATCTTCAACATAAATAAACACTTGGCTCGGAACCACGATTGCAGTGATGATGACATCATATTTGCTGTTGATTTTATTTATTTTTTTTTTTTGTTTTGTTTTTTTACCAACAGAGGGAACAGTCATCTTTGCCTGGAAAGAAACAATGCAGTTATTAATAAGAAGATTCAAAATTAGTGCATGCAAGATTTCACAGCTCTAGCATCACTCTTTCATAGTCAACCTATAAATTTTCAGCCGGCCCTCATATGTGCATCTCTTTAACTGAATTTTTTTCTTTTTTCCTGACAGTTACACCTGGGACTACATTGAACAAACTCCTCACAATGAAAGCGCATGGAATTACCTCAAAGGGTAAGCACTTTGTTTTCTATGTTTTTGTTTTTTTTAAACTTATGTCTCCAGAAAAACCTACCAAAAAGTAAAAACCAGCAGATATCTACTATTATGAGGAGGATTTATTGACATTTACTATTTGTGTTCACTGAACATATAAATGTCTTGTTGTCCAATCTTCTTTTAATAAAAAGTATTTTTTTTTCTCCCAAACCCAGAACGATATGGCTTTTGATAAAACCAAGAACTTTGCTGAGAGAAGCCAATATGATATATGAGGGATTATCCTAGCTCCGATCTATTTTCCTCAAAGGAACAGATGACTCTTGAAATATTTTTACTAAATAGTACCTATACAATCACTGAAGTTAAGCGACATTGAGCCTGCTCAATATTTAGATGAGTGACCGCTTAGGAATACCAGGTGCTGTAATCTTGGATGCATTGGTGTAATGGATAACAGCTCGGAATTGTTAATTGGAGAGCCGAGTTCTAATTCCTGTTGGCTTCATTATATTTACTTACACACAAATACCCTTGGGAAAGGTATGAATCCCCTTCTTCTCTTCCCACAATTATGGGTTAATTAGTAAGACTTGTATCACTAAACCATTATCTCCACTTAAAAAAAATTCTTACAATATTACATATTTTCTGGCTTTAAATAACCAGCAAAAGGTTAAGTTGTGTAATAACAAAAGTATGCAGGTGTAGACTTTAAGAAAGCTTTATTCAACTGAGAATACAAAGTTCGCATATAGTGTCCTTTTATAGTCCCAGTAAACAGAAATAGTTCTCTCAAAGAGGAGAGTAACAAAACAAAGGGAGACCACTCTCGATTATTCATAACAAGCTGTGAAAAACAAATCAATATTTTTGCTAAAGATATGTTTCAATTTAGCTGACTAAAAACCCATATGAAGGAAAATAATTTTGATTATGAGTCCGACTTTATTTTTATTTACAAAAAATAAATGTTTGGTCTGAAAATCTTTGTAGGGAAAAGAACAGTAAATGTTCCTTAAATATTGGTTCTTTTACCAAAGTTTCAAAATACCTGGTGATACATGTGTGTTTTCACATCTTGGGGATAGAAGTTTTGTTTTGAGTGATATATTAATGAAGACCATAGATTTCTGAATTGTTCTTGATATAAACCCTTTGATATTCGACCCCGACCCTCTCCAGGCATTTGGAGTTGAAACTGCTTCTTGTGCAATTCCCAGACAAAGTGATCAAATGAAGACTTACAGAAAACCAGAAAATTCTAACTTTTAAGAATTTCTAATCAATTGCTTCTCTTTTGCTGCATCCAGTTCTTTATCCTTATAAAGCTTCTCCTTTAGGTGTTGACTAACTGTAGCATAAGAAGAGTCAGAACCCCAAGGTTAATTTGATGTCAAAGAAAAATAGTAATATTCTTAATTATTTGAAATTTTGAAATGCTTTCATTATGAATTAATGAGTTAATGTCTTCATTTTTAAACTGCTGCAGTTAAAGAAATATCAGATCAGATAAAATATTTGTGCAAAATTATCATTTACATTTACCTATTATGAAATGGACAAAGTCCAACAATTATTTTAAGACATTTTTTATGTTTATATGTTCTTTTTATAGATACAAATATTTAAGTAAATGCACTGTTTATAATAAACAGTATTAACGACATTTACCAGCCTGAATGTCAGAAATTTTCATAGAAAATGTGTCCTCCGACAGGAATTGAACCTGTATCCTCTACGGAACTGACGTGCTTTTACCGATTGAGCCACAGAGGAGGCGTTTGGTTAGCAAGGTCGATTTTACTGGGTTTTTTTGTGATGGTGGTGGTGGGGGGTAAACTACAATTCTCCATGATTTTCTCTTGTACATTCATATCTGCTCGATGCATATCCAAATGTAAACAAATGACATCGCACATTATGAAATGGACAAAGTCCGACAATTATTTTAAGACATTTTTTTTATTTATACGTTCTTTTTATAGATACAAATATTTAAGTAAATGCTCTGCTTATAATAAACAGTATTAATGAAAATCAGGAGAAAAAAAAAAGTATAATAATGAAAGCATTAAACTGTAAACAGATGAGACCTTGTTGCTAATCTAGTACTGAACTTGGATTAAGATCTGATTCAAATTCTTGAATCAAATGTAGATTGAGGTATTTAGTTAACTGATACTCATGTATTGTTTGATGTTCTGAGATAAGGTATTAACATTATTTCAGATATGTAAAATTACATTGAAGGCTTGCTTGAGGTGGGCCAAAAAACACATCAGCTGAGGTATTGTGATAAAAACAACAAAAATGAAGTTATTAATCAAAGTTATTGATGAATAAGATTCAAGTCTTCTTAGTTAAATTTTCTATCTTTTGACTTGTAGAGTTCTTATGCTTAATGGTCTCAGAGAATATCCTCAAGTTTTGGAGAAATGTTTGCACCTCTATGACAAGAACTGTCGCTCTCCATACCTACTTGCTTGCCTGATTGATATCTACGAAGACCAATTAGAAACCAATCCTACAAATCAGAAACAAATTCTTAACAAAGCATTGGAGGTAAACACATCTTATTTTTCTTTTTCATCCTAAACTTTGCCACTACTGTGTTCTTCACACACACACACACACACACACACACAATCCTTTCATTAATCACTTAAAAGATAATTGTTGATTAAGCTTCATAAAGTACACTATCTTTTTATCTTCTCTAAAGTGATGCAAGAACAAACCAATCTCATTTTGCAGCTTAAAGTAAGCCAATTCATTTCCTATTATCATATTTTTAAAATCCAAAGTTTTGATTAGTTATTTACTAAGCTTAGCTTAGTCTGGCACAAGGCCATAGAAATGGGGTAATCTCTGGATTAACCTCACTACAGACATGGTCTGTGAAATTCATTCACAAATTCCTGCTCTCAGTAAGATGCCTTTAGGTCTTAGCTTTGTCTAGCACAAGACTACAAATGCAAAACACTTAATAGTAATAGTCTGTGAAATGAGCTTGTTAACCATTGATTCACAGTACGACATTTTCTATGTTGAAAAATACACATGATCAAAATTGTTTTCTTTACTTAGCTTTACACACACACACACACAGTGGAAAGTTGGTTATCCAGCTGGATATTTTGTTTACGTAACTAATCCAATCATAAAAAGAAACCATATTGAACACCTAAAACTATGTTTAAATGCTTTGGTTTTACTCAATTAAGATATATAGAAACAAGATATTGCTTAAAAATGTTTGATATTTAATTTTATAAATAAAATCATGTTAACTCATGTTTTAAGTAATGAAAATATGCAGCTGAAAATTCATGGAATCACTGAGTTTGTCAAAGATGCTAAATTCATGTAAATAAAATTCATTGAGATGCTTATTGAGATTTTTTATGTCTGTGTTAAAATTATTTCAACATTGTTTAAATTGACCATTTGAGACCAAGTTGACCAATCACAAACATGGGAACAACAATTAAACCAATAAACTCTGCCACTTGAAAAAGATTTGTACTCTGTGACAATTCAACTATTTATGCTTTCTTGAAATTTTATTTGGATAATCAATTTTTCAATAACTTTTATTTTCGTTTAATCTGAGATAATGTAGAATTTCTCAAATAAAACTTGTTGATTAGGATTAGAATAATTGGTAGTTATTGTCCTTTTTGTGGTTCAATTCATTTTATTACATTATTTTTTTTGTTTATGCTTTCTTGGTTTTGCAGTTGTGTGAACTTCTTGCAGAAGAACATGACTTAATTCGTCAAGAGTATTGGCGCTATATTTCTCAGTCACTGTCCACGGAATATGGAAGTCCTGAAGAGAAAGTGAAAGCTGACAATTGTGGGACAAACATGGAGGCTGCCTAATACGTTCATCTATCCTTATTCCCTTTGATGTGGTAACAAGAAACAAACTCATTCTCTCTCTCTATTCCTTTTCTCTCTTCTCATTTATCTGACAAAAAAAAAAAAAAAAAAAGCCAACAAAATGAAATGCAATTCAGTGTTGCAGTCGACACCTAACATGAATAAATAAATCCTATTTTGTTTGTCACATTCCCACCCTGATTTCTGTTAGGCTGACGGGGTTTTTTTTTATCCAGAGTTGGCCTGCTAGAAGTTCAGTGGATTTATTTAAAAAAATAAATCATCAGTATTTGGTTGTCATGGCAATGGCTGGGGCTTCCCACCTCTCTAACAAAGTGTCACTGTGACAATGGGAAATTCCATTCCGGTAATTTCTGCTTAAAAAAAATAAATATTTTAAGACATTCTAATTGACTCACAAATATAAATCTCAAGGAAAATTGATTCACTGAACTTTTTTTTACTTTGAGATAACAGACAAAAACTACATTTTAAAATAAAACAGTAGAACAAATAAATGTTTTCTTTTTCTGATAATTTTTGTTAAGATAGACTTATTAAATTTACATCATGATGGAGGGGGCCTGTCAACTATGACAATCAGCATTCAAAACCCTGGCCATTACCTGGGTCGAATGCTAACAATGGGCATTATATATATATATATATATATATATATATATATATATAACAATTCATAATTCTTTCAGCTACCAGACAACAGTTTTTTTTTTTTTTTTAATGCAGCCGGAGTTGCTCCAAATATAATGTCTCCTATTTATGCAGAAACTATAGGGTGGTCCGAAAGTCTTGTCTCTACACAGTAAAAAGTAATGAGAACAATAGAACAAGTAATACAAAGCACATGTGTTGGATTCAGTTTATTCACTTTCATTGACGCTGTCACACATCAAGGCAGTTCGTATGAACACTATCATTTTTGTGTCAGCCATGTGAAATAGAAAATTATATTATATAGGGGTGACACGACTTTCGGACCACCCTGTACAATAGATGCCGGGGATACAGTAACACCATTGAATAGAGCAAGTTTACATCTTGAAAATATTTGTTCACAAAAACCAAGTAAGGCAACAAAGTCACTAAGGCACAAGAAGATGCAACTGAGAAAACATTACTGAGGAGAAAGTACAATAAAAGGATCAGGATTGAGCTTGAGGTAGCATTTAAGTTTTTGAAGGTTATAGTTGACAAGAAAGCAAGAAGCCAGAAGAGTTCCACAGGTGAGAAGTGTGAGAGAAGAAACTATAAGAATGGGACTTAGCAATTTCAAAATTAAAATGACAAGACCTAGCACTATGAAGTTGAAATAGCGAAGAGAAGAGTTCATCAGAACAATAGTCATGAAAATATTTATAGAAAAAGCAGTGAGAAGTTACGTTATGGCAGAAGGAAAGTTACTGAAGCAAAGTAACCATGTCAAGATCAATAAAATTGCAGATTCTTTGCATTTTTATAAAGAATCTGTAGATACATATCAGAAGCACCAAACCAAATGTAGCAACAATATTCAATGCACAGATGAATGGTAAATCTATAAAGGTGCATGACAGATACATGTGAGTAACTGTACAAAATTTGGTTTGATGCAAATTTAATGTTTAATAATATTAAATGTGATAAAACAGGATCAATACACTGAGTGACAGCACTTCAAAGAAACAGAAAAATATTCCCCGAAGAGAAATTTCAGTAAATTTAAATAATGCCTGAAGGTTAAATCCACTTTGGTAGGAAGAAAGACAAGTTACTGCCACTGCTTAGAATACATCCATTAAGCTGAGAAGTGGGAGTCTAATATCTTCAGAAATTTGTTAGCCAAGGATGGTGAGTTCAATCCTTATAGTTAAAAAAAAAACAAAAAAAAAACATATTTAATGTTAATTTTTATTTTAGAATTGTACCGGATGAGGAGGAGGCATGGTGGAGTAATGGATAACGGCTCAGATTGAGAAATCGGAGAGCCAAGTTTGAATTCCAGTTGAATCCATTACATTCACTTGCGTGCTAATACCCTTGGGAAAGGTATGAATCATCTTCTCCCCCCAGCTATAAGTAAATAGAAGGACAGACCAGGTTCTATAGCCATGGATGGCAACTGGTCTACTGCAGAAAGAAATGCCAACCTACTGCAACCAAAAATCTGCCTCGTCAGTCAAAAAAGATACATAATCGCCTAAGCATGTATCACGCATGGCACTTAATTAAACTAGACAAGGGAGAATAACTCTTGAACATATCTGTGCACCTAGAGTTATCATTTTAGGTAACATTTGAAAGCCCAACACAACTAAATATTAAATTGACTTTCTCATTACTAGTCAGCTTGTGTTCAACTTATTTTAAAAAGTAACAGAAAAATATTACATCTATTAGTGCCATGCTTACAAAAGCCACTTTATCTCATGACCCTGTTGGCAAGAAAGATCCATTTTACCGTATGACAATTCATCATTATTACTTAAATCATCAAAACCCATCAGTGCCGTGAGCTGTTTTAGAAATGACTGGACCGTGCTTTTTTTTTTTTTTTTTTTATCCATCATAAAAATAACAATGATGGGTCTGGAAACAAAATTTACCTTCATTATTCAAACTGGTATCCTTATTCTTTTGTTTTTCTCAGTTTTGTTAGAAGTATAGTATACAGCAGAACTACCTCCTACATAATGGTAAGACATTAATGACAATGGTGTCTTCATCTAACAAATGTCTTACCATTATGCGGATGTATTTCTGCCATACCCTGTATTTTTATTTAAATTATTTGTACTAATATTCTCTAACCTTCGTCCACTGCATTTTATTTGATAATCCTTCAATGCTATATACAACTGAGGATGGTCACAGAAGAGATTGGCTGGAATACTGGGGTTAATCTGCCAATCTGTATCAGCTTTGTTTAAACGTTTGAGGGCAATAGATTGCCATATGGCAACAACGATACATATTTGTCTAAGTCAATGCTATTTATTAATCAAACACTTTAATACATTATTTCATAATATTAAAAACTGAAGAAAAAAAAAAAGCTGTTTATTTTGTTTTCTCTAAATTACGTGTTGCATAGCAGGGGGACTTCTCTATTCAGCAGACTCTTTCCCCCACATAACGGCGCAAGCATATCGCTATTTCCATGGCAAATGTTCAGATGTGCTCATTTCTTAATTTCCATAAAACAAAAATATTGGAAAGTGGTATGAACTTGCCATGATTACAAAGTGTCAAAACCATCTAACATTGAAAGTTCCAAAAATACGCCACTGATGTTCTTCGGGACACTGGCATAATGGATATAAGACTTAGTTAAGTTGTGTTGTGGTCATCTAGAATTTAATCCCTGGATCAGTTAGTGAAACACTGGTTAAGCAGAAAGAATAATTTGCATCACAGAGACACCACAATCAACAAGTATATCTTATATCAACTGAAACAATGAATACCTGATGATGGTCAGAATTCTGGGCTGAAACATTGTGTCTAATAAAATTTATAACAACCATGGTAGAACAATACTTTCACAATATATAATTTTTTTTCTTATTTCCAATAATGACTTTTCACATCCACTGCTTTCATTAGAGAAATTTTATAAAATTACTGAAGTTTATCTAAATTTAAACACTCTAGCAAATGCCCTTAAAAATATTCTATACTCAGCAGATGAAGAATAATTTGGATTTATAGTCATGATGTAATGACACTGAAGCTCAGGATAAGATGAATCCATCTCTTCTAGGCTATTGTTTAAATAGTAGGGCAAACTGTATTCTCTAGCTATGGCTGGTAATCAGTGTAGGAGAAAGATAACTCTAAATTCAAAACTGTATGTGACCTTGATGCTGCGATAGATACCTTAAGCGAGATCTCTCATGTTTTCAACCAAAGTGCTTCATCAAAAAACAAGTTGTTGAACCAGATTTGTGCAAGGATCCATGTAATGTATTATACAACTATTGCATATTTGCATTTGCAATCTTACAACAATAAAAGTATAAAACCGTCACTAATTTCAGTTTTAGGAATCTAAGGTAAAATTACCCTTTACTAAGACTGGAATAAATCCCTCTATTCAATCTCTGACAACATTGTAGAAAAGTTCAAATGCAGTCTCATCTTTTTACAAAAACAAATTCTATGTAGACAGTAATGCAACGTGTAATAAAACATTTAAAGTTATTTATAAAAATATAATAAGGACATCTTTCAAATTAAGTAGCTTGTAAAATAGTTTATTTGCATAAAATAAAATTAGTTATTTGTTAATAAAATAAATAAGAGCTTTAAAATGGACGAGTCATTTCATAAGTTGCCCACGTCATGTTACTCTGCGGAACCCAAGTGAAATGATGTTTTCGTGCTGTTTCTATTAATTCTTTACTGTTTGTGGCTAAAAATCCAAATGGAATGTCCCCGTTATCAATGATCTTCTGCATTATATCAGCAAATACAATGTGACAGAAACCTTTACGCCTGTGTTTAGGTTGTACATAAATCATGGAGATGGAACCATTAAATTTTCGACATGTGTAAGCAACAACTTCACTTGTGGCATTGTCACGAAGACATGAATTTTCAAAGTTCGTAATAATTGTTTCAAAATAGTCGTAAATTCCTTTGTGTTCAGAAAGAGAGGATTTCCAATGTTTGAAGACCATGGGAATATCAGATTTCTTGAGTGTATCCAGAATGAAACCTTCTGGAATGTGGCTGAAATTAAAAAAAAAAAAAAATGATTAGTTTGAGAAATGATTGTTTGGATAAGGAGTTTGATCCTGAGTGGATGACTTGATGTTGTGGCCTTGTGCCATACTAACTTCAGCTGGGTTAATAAAATAATGTTGTATGTACAATTATCTGGACAGGTTGTAAAAATATGTTCAGATAATTAAAAATTCTAAATACCGTATTTGGCGGAGTAGAAGACACACCCCAATTTCAGCAGGGAAAATAAAGAAAAAATTAGTAATTAGTAAAATTATTAGTAAATGGTACTAATGGTATGAGGTATTGTTTTGATTAAACAAGCCATGATTACATTTAAACCAAAAAATAATAGGGAAAAAAAAGAACATGAGCCTATAAAAACTTTATATTCAAAGGTAAGAAAACAAAATAAAAATCAAGCAATTATTAAAATTGAGCAAAACAGTACAGTTAGCATTTAAAATTCTATTCATCTTCAGATCCATACTTCGTTATCAAAACTCTGATACTCATTTTCAATACTACTATCATCGTTGTTAAATAATGTCATCTTCCATTAAGAGCATTGCTAATGCCACATTTTTTTTAAAAGATTTTAAAACAATTTCTAGTCTAATATTATCCCAAACTTGCTTCATCCATTCACAGACATGCTGGATCTCTTTATTTGTCCTGTAAGTGTAAGGTTGTGATCAGGCATTGCCATCCACATGTTGCATTGCTCCTTCATGTTTAAGTCTAAGCTAATAGGAGTTGCCAGGTAGATAATTTTGGCCAACTATTGTGAATTTTAAACCTACATATGGGATATAAAACACAGGGGAATTTTAAAAGATATTTTTAGTTTAAAAAAAAACAAGAACGCTTATATGCTGTCAAATACCATAACTGAATACATAAATTATCAAAAAAGAATGAAGTCATTTTCTGAAAGAAACTTCTCATTTATATTATCTCATAACATTTTAAAAGAGTTTGCTCAAGGTTTTGTCCAGTTTATTTTTGGTGAAAAAGAATGCATCAATATTTGTCTGCTTTCAGCTGGCCTTGCATTTTCCTAACAACAAACTAGATTGTATTAGCTTTTGTAGCAAGGATAGCTTCTTGAAGCGGCAACCAATTTAAAAGTTTTGTCTATTTTTATCAAATGTTGACTATGGTTTTTGAAAATTCTTGTCAGAGATGAAAATAGATTGTTTTTTTAGCTTTGGATATATGTTTGGAGGATTTCAGTTCTTTTTTTTTCTTCATTTCATGTCTGGGTAATCAGAATTCAGAGAATATTGAGCTATGGATAATCAAGGAAGTATTGTATCCTAAACTTTAACTTCATATTTACATTTTTTTTTAAAAACTAATAACTAGAATAAAAAATTTTAAAAATATTAAATGGCAATAAGAAATTTTATTTTAAAAAAAGAAGGAAAAAGTTAGAAAAAAAAAAAAGCTCACTTTATCCCAGGTATTGAACTCTTTGGGTCAAGTCACTTTTTCGATTACTCAACCAATGCTTTTATCCACTAGGCTATGTGTCCTGGCCTCAGCAGAGAGAAGAAAAACTTGGAGCGTTGAGTTACTAAAAGAAATAAACTGAAGCGGATATCCAAAAGAGGCATGGCATGTGGAATTAGAACAATCTACTCCAGTGGACTAAAAGGGTTTGGTTTGAAATTTCAACATACATCACCTGAAGAAGGTCGACGCTTACAACAGCTGAAACATTGTGAATATGGCAATAAAGATGAGGACAGCAGTCAGAACAATATAAATAACTTTGTAAAAGTTGTAGATTTCTGGTACCTCTAGTTGATCAATGTGACATCTGTATATTGAAATACAATGCTACCAAATTGCAGGCAAATTCAGGCGCTCCTGGATTGTGAATGTGTCAAATCTGTGGGTGTATTTGGGCACTACCAGATGTAGTCGGCCAGACATGTGCATTGACTTACAAATGAATCTAAGAATATGAATTAGGTATAAAGGGTTATAGGTTAATACAGCAATTTGAGCAACATGGCAGATTCCATATAGCTGCAGTGTGCTTTTAAATCAGCAACTCACTTTGTGATTTTTCAATTGATCAACCAAATTTCAATACCATGACAACCATGTATAAACTATGGAAGGCCTTGCAGGTCATTCTTGACTGATGACTAGTTTGAAAAGGAAAGAAATAGAGGAATTTACTACTTCTTGTAGTGCTGCACCAGGAATTTTTTCTTGCTGGAGTTGATCCTTCAAATCAACCATTCACCCTTGCATGGAGTATTGCTGCCTTATATGGTCTGGAGCCCCTTCTGTTTGTCTCAAGGTCCTTGATAAAATCCAGAGACAGATATGCAATGTAATTGGCCCTGATCCGACATCTCGTCTGCAGTCGCTCTCTCACAGACATACGGTCACCTCCCTCTGTCTTTTTTACAAATACTTTCGCAGTAAATGCTCCGATGAGCTGCTTTTGCTGGTTCCCAGACTTCATGAATTTAAGCGTTCTATTAGGCAGGCATCTTGCTCTCGCCCTTTCATTGTTGAATGTAGCCATCTCTTCTACTCCAATAGCTTTATGTCTCGCACTTCTCGCCTGTGGAACTCCCTCCCCTTTTCTTGTTTCCCTGATAGCTATAATCTCCAACTATTCAAATGTAATGTCAATCGACATCTCCAGATGCCCTGATCTATCCCCTATCCTTCTCTTCATCCTTTCCTCTATCACTCCTAGTTGCTCTCGCTCCAAGTCTCTGTAACCCCTTGCGTACTAGTGGCTTCTCACCTTGCTTGAGGTGAAATGCTTTAAGGGAAAAAAAAAACTCAGACTTCAATAGCACTAGTAGTAGGCCAAATGCATGGACTGTTAATGGCAATACATATTGTGGGTCAATTGAGGGTCTATATAAAGTTTCTATGGAAATGAACAAAACAAGATATTCATGAACACAAATGCCTCAACCACAGAGACTGAGTCTGAGAAACTAGCAGAGGTTCTCAACCTTTTTTGCTTAATGCATTCTTTTCACCATAACTCAAAATATTATCCCCCCCCTTTTCAAGATGGACTCAAGTGCATATATTACTGAAAATCTTCATTCTTTTCAATATTTGTACACAAATTTACATGGATTATTTTTATAGAGGAGATTTACAAATTTAATAGGATTAGAAAATGTTGCTGGATTTTGAAACTTGAATACATGTACAGTAGTCAAGTCAAGAGCTTTGATTATACTGCTGCAGGTTTCCCAGTAATTAAGGTTCATAGCAGTCAGCTAGTTCTCACTCCTCCTTTGTCAAGTGGGCCAAAGAGGTTGCACTCCACCCAATTTGTTTTAATTCACAGATAATTTCTCTCTATATTTCTGAGATGAGGTATTGTAATTATTTACATTGTTCAGACTGTTGTCCTTATCTTTATTGCCATATTCACAATGTTTCAGCTGTTGTATACTCCAGCCTTCTTCAGGTGGTTGGAATTTTGAACTGAACCCAGGGTAGATTGTTCTAGTTCCATGTGCCATGCCTCTTCCAGATGTTTCAGTCATCTCCCTTTAACAACTCTCCAAGTTTTTGTTCACTACTTCAGTAGCCAGGTATTGAACTCACAACTCTTTGGGTCAAGTCACTTGATCCAAGGAGTTACAACTTCAATAACTGAATCCAACCAATGCTTTTATCCACTGGGTCATGTGCCCTTGAAGACATCAGTGTATCAATTTTTGGGACTTAATGTTTCAGTAATCTTTTTTTCTTTTTTTTTTTTTTTCTTTTTTTTTACCAGAGCTCATATTGAAATTTTTGTTGTTATTGCCTAGCACTCCGTATTACTGGTTACCATATTGTATTCATTTCTATGCTTGGCCAGCTCAGGATATTTTTGTGGTCTAGCATATGTGCTGATTCCTTGAGTTTTCATATTTTCCAGTGATGTTCTCTGTCTATTATTTCAACCTCATCCCCACCATATCTGGTCAGCCATATCTGATTTTTCTATTTTCTCTCTTGTTAAAGTTTTATGATGTTCTTACAATCTTACCTTAAGGGGGCAGCTTGTTTCCCTTTATATTACATACCACAGTTATCCCTTGAAGCTGTGGTAAGCAATATAAATATATCACTTGAAGAAGGATGGAGCATACAACGGCTGAAACGTTGTGAATATGCCAATAAAGATGAGGACAACAGTCTGAACAATGTAAATCATAACTAATTATTACATAAATTATTGAATAGACCGAAGCATACTTCAATAAATGCCAGTGTATTGGAATTCAATAAACATTTTGTAAATAAAAACAAGAAAAAGTAACGCCCATCTCCTGTGAAATTCCTTCCTGGTTGAGAGGCCCTGATCCTGGGATTAATTTGTATAGATAACTCCCAATTTAAGTTAGCTTCAAATTGTGTCAAGCTTAACTTACTGAATATCAATAGGAACTACACTGTGGGGATAATGGTTAGGAACGTCCTCTTGCCGACCATTACTCCTGCATAATGAGTTTGATCCTCACTGGGTGTCTCATTGCACGAGACCCAGCTAAGATTAATCAGTCAGTTATGTGCCCTGTGTGATTCACATAGGCAATCATGTATCTTTTGATACATGAATGACGAGGCAGATTTTTTCCCTGCAGTAGGTTTCAATTTTTTTCTGCGGTACACCAGTTGCCATCCAAGGCTATAGAATCCAGTCTGTCCTACTATTTATGCATAGCTGGGGGGAGAAGAAGAGGATTCATAGCATAGGGTATTAGCACATAAGTGAATGTAATGGATTCAACTGGAATTCGAACTCGGCTCTCCGATTCCTCAATCTGAGCTGCTATCCATGCCTCTTTAGTTTAGTAAATTATGTTAAAAAAAGTTAACAGATGTTTATTTTAAAACTTTTCTCTTTTTTTTTTTTTTTTTTCAACAACATTGCAGAGTATATTGAGACAAACAAGTGAATGACTCGGCAAGTGCAGATATCAGCAGATGGTACATTCCTAAACACCCAAGGAGCTAATATTTATTTATAAAATAGACAAAATAAATATCTTCTCTTCCTGTTCTCAAACAGGAGACACAGGAATTTTTTCATTTAAACCATGAACACATTGTGTTCTAATTTATGATAGAATTTTTTAACTGAGAAATTATTATTATATTCAGACTAGCATATTCATCTTGGTTATTATACTCAATGTTTCTACCATTGTACCTTCTAGCCATCTTCAGGTGTTCACCATCGTATTCAGTCACCTTAAAATTTTGAACTCAACACTTTATTCAATAAATGGTGGTAGATTGTTCTCATTCCACTTTCCTTGCTTAGGGGATATTTTATTTCTCACTAGACTTATTCAAGTTTGTGTCAGAGATATTGAAATCAAACATAGCTGATCATATATAAATAGAAAAGGGTAGTCAGTAATCCTTGTAGAATGAAGTCCAGATAAAAGAAGGGAATAAGATGAGTGAAAATCACATCAATTAAATGATGAAACCCTCCTCTGTAAACCAAGCATCGAGATGGACAGTATTTGAAAACCTGATTATTACAGTACTTGAGTACAGATATTAGATTTAAGGCTTCGTAATTATACCACTGGAGTGTACAAAAGATACATGGCGTCATGAGTTAAAGCATTGGTTAATAATCAACTATATCTGGTTCCCTAGCAGTTATGGGTTCAATTTCTGGATCTGGCAGTGCTGAAAAGTCACATACATTAGCTCAGGGAAAGAACTAAAAATTGTGAGGCAAAGATAAATGAAATTAGACTGATGAGGAGTTATCTCCCTTATGAATTGAAAGGGGAATAAGAACGCTACTTTTATGGATTGAATAAAAGGTTCAGTTCAAAAGTCCAAGAAGGTTACTGAGTACAAAAGGCACCTGAACGGTACAATGGCTGAAATGTTATGATTATAAATCTACTTGTTCAAAATGGAAAGGCATGTAATAATATTGTTGTTATTGTTCATTGAATGCTCTGCCAAACTAAAGGAAGCATCTGACATTCTATACTACTGTTAGTTGTATTTGAAAAGAGCTTGTAATTTTTCCATTTCAGTTGTCTTGATTTCAGGCGAGTTTGATATCAAGTCCAAATTAAAAGAACCTTTACTCTGAGATTCCTGTAAACATCATCTACTCTATGCACTACCAATTCATAGTCAAGGCGTCACAGTGGAACAGTTGTTGCCAGGGAAAATGAAATCTGTGAACTGAGTTCAAATTCGGGCTTAGGCAGTTTGTATTCACTTTCTACTAATTTCTACTAGATATTGAATTATGTTTTGCAAAATAAATGGAAGATAAAAAATAATCAACTTTTATTATATTCATTATATATATATATATATATATATATATATATATCTATCGTTTCGGTATAAATTAATATTACCACGAAATATTACATGTAAGTGACACATTGAGAAAAAAATGCTGGTCCACCATATCAAATAGTTTGAGAAGCACTGGGCTAAAGCATGTTAACAACCTCAAGTCTACAAAGTGCCAGTAGTTGCTAATCATCAAAGTTAAGCAACATTGAACTTGATCAATACTTAAATGGGTGACAGGTAAGGAACATCAGGTAGTGTAAGCACTTTTGTTTCTTGTTTTGATTTGTTTGTTTTTTTGTTTTTTTTACAGCTTATCAACTTTTGCATGTTAATCAAAGTCATAAAATATTTTTAAATTGTAAAAAGTTTTTTTTTGTGGGGGAGGGATAATAATAATAATGATTGACTGATACAAGTTCTACTAATTAACCCATAGCTGGGGGGAGAAGAGGTATATTCATAACTTTCCCAAGGTTGTTTGCACATAAGTGAATATAATGAACCCAACTTTAATTGGAATTCATCTCTCCAATTTACAATTCTGAGCTGTTGTTATCCATTACACCACCCACACATTCAAGCTTACAGGACCTGGTATTCCCAAATGGTCACCCATCTAGGTACTGTCTAGGCTCAACATTGTTTAACTTTTGTGACCGTACGAGAACTGGTGTTGGAACGTTAAATAGTCATAAACTGTTTGGTTTCTTGTACTAAACTAAACAAGGGTTTGTAAATGAAAGTAAAACCAAGACTTCAGTGTTCAAGACTAATCACCAAGAAGAAAGTTCTTTGGCTGATGATGAAAGTTACCATTATTCAATAACAGAGAGGCAATAGATGAACAAAGTCACTCTAAACTCTCAGAAAATAATTTTAGCCAAGGCCAAATATTGGCCTAACAAATGATATTTTGGATGATAATTTTTTTTTTTTTTTTGTGGGATAAAATGTGTGTCTAAGATACCATCAAATTTAATAGTTTTTTTTTTTTTCTTCTGTAAGTAGATTACCAATTTTCTAGCATCCATAGCTCCAGAGCCACACTGAATTATGCATCATCATACTATCTGTCTATATTTCTGAGATGAGGTATTATGTACATTATTTACATTATTCGGACTATTGTCCTCATCTTTGTTGCCATATTTATTACAACATTTCAGCCCTTCAGTATCTGTCTATATTTCTGAGATGAGGTATTATGTACATTATTTACATTATGATGAGGACAATAGTCTGAATAATGTAAATAATGTACATAATACCTCATCTCAGAAATATAGACAGATACTGAAGGGCCGAAACGTAATAAATATGGTGACAAAGATGAGGACAATAGTCCGAATAATGTAAATAATGTATCATCATACTACTAATACTAATCATCATCCAACACCACTACTACCGCTACTTTTTTCATCCACTACTTATACGCATCTCATTTTTAAAGCATTAAGACTGTTAGAGGCTTAAATATTTCTCATGTTAAATTCTTTTTAAGTGGGTTTTCCAGAATCTACAGCATCTAACAAATGAAAAATGACCAATACTTAACTTTCAATATTCCTTGATCTTGGAGTTGGATAAAGAATGTAAAGTTTGCTGGCAAGTATGATGCTATATATTATTTTTATACAACACTTCATCTCTATAATGTGTTGAACAGTTATTCAGAAAAAAAATTCTGAGTTTTCATTTTATCAGAATTAAAATAGGTGCTGGAAAATCAGTTATCAACTTGGAATTGATCTGATTTAATGTGCTTAACCAGTTTGACAATTTGTCTGGAAGCTGAAATTTTTGCTTTTTTACTTTCTTCTTTCTTGAGAGATGAACTCATGTGAAATATGAAATACTTTACCTGGGCATGTCAAGAGAAACAGCTTCACACCAAGCATACATAATGTGGGGCTCTCGACATTCAAACTTTCCTCCAAGTTTCCGAGCAAATTCTTTAGTCACTGCTATCAAATCATATGGAATACCTGTTTAAAGGTAAGAGTAAAATTCAGTTAAAAATTGGATGTTAGGTTTTATCAGAAGAAATGTTTTTTTTTTGTTTTTTTTGGCAGGGCAATAAAAACATGTTTAAATGTATCAAGGGTTAAATGTATTTGCAAAAAAAACAAAAAAATCTTTCTCAGCAATTCTGAAGTGAGTTCTTTTATTCTGTTGTTAAAATAATTCCTACAATACTGAACTCTTTCCTAGTTTTCAGTTTTGTCAGAAAGTTTATAAAATGGAAGTCTTCAGACACATTCAGTATACGGAGTTAGATTAAGTTATGTTATTAAATCCTTCAAAGAATTTAATCTCACATTGTCATTCCAAAGAATGATATTTCCTGTTTTGAACAGTCACCAGATTGAGTTTCATGTGAATGGCAAATTTCTTTACCCAATTTTGAATTGATTTTCTTCTCATTTGTAGCTAAATATCGCCCAGCTAATTTTAAAAGTATTTCCAAGTAGTGAAATTCAAAATTTAGGATTTTAAAATATAGCCCTATCTGGCAACCCTATTCTTGACAATGAAAATGTTTTGTAATTGTCTTATTCTAAGAGTGTATAATAGATCAGTGTAGTTAAACGAGATTCTCTTCATCAGATTACACTTGTACAACACCAAATGCTCTTTCTGAAGACACCATTTTTGAATTCATGCACATGTCACCAACATAAAAGTTGCCACCTTCTTTTCATTGTTCCAGCATTCTTTATTATGTCAAAACCATTTCTGACTGACCAATCAGCAGTTCTTGGCTCCATCTTCAGTCACACAGTCAAATCCTCCAGTCCAATCAATCAGCATTCGGATTGCTATTGGTCGAACCGTGCTAAGCTGTATAAAATCTAACGTTTCAGAATCATACACTTCCAGAATAAGTAAGAGGAGGGATGAAGATTCATGCCATTTTCTAAGGAACAAAACGTTGCTGCCTCATCTTGCATATTGAGGTAAGGAAGTTATTTTCCTTTAGACCAGATGCAAGCCACTGACTTTGATTTTGAAGTTAAAAAGATTTTCTCCTGAATTACTGATTTTTAGAAAACAAAATGAAGAAATTGAGTCTTGCCAAGAGATTATTCATTTAAAACTTACACTGTTTACAAATGGCTGTAGAATGGTTACTTGCAATGAAAAATATTTAACCCTAGAACACTAACCATCAATTAAAGTTACACCACTACTAACCATGGGTATATCATACCCAATCTTGAAAATATTAAATATAAATCTTTATTTAAAATATTTTACATGCAGGCACTTCAAACTTTGTACTTTGAGTTAACATTAATAGGAACTGAAAAACATCTTTTAGGTAAGAAAATCAGGTACTGAAAATTGTAATTAAAAATAGGAAAATTTGTGCTGGGTACTATATACCCATGGTTAGTGTTCTAAGGTTAAGATGAAAGAAATCTAAGTCAAAAATGAATAATGCTTGACAATGCTTCATATGAAAATTCCAGATAATACTAGCCATAATTTAATCATAATTGACAAAGCTTCCTTTAATAAAAATTCAATTATTTATATTAATACTATTTTATTAAGTCCTAAGGAGTTCTTTTGTAATAGTAAGTTAGGATAGCATTCCATTATAGCTGACATCTGGCACACAAGTCAATATCCTAATATTGATTAGGTCATTGTGGAGAAGAGGTATGATGCTGTAAGACCCAAAACCCGTAATTGTCCATGGGAAAACATCACTGATGATGTGTACCAATATATCTGAGAGATGTATTTGCTATTAAACCTGTGAGAGGACTGGAAAGTGGGTTTGGGGTATGACTTAAAAATATATCCGACAACAGAGGTTTGACTTGGAGATAGAATTAGGGTATGCTGAACCATTGTTATCTACAGATAATCTTTGGCTAAAATTTAGCACCTGTTTGCCTCTCTCACCAGGGGTTTTTTTTTTTTTTTTTTTTGATGTGTATGTAGAACTATAAAGGAGTTCTTTTGTTGCAATGAGTTAGAAGTGTTCCTACATAAGAATTGTCAATATTGATTAGGTTTCCATGGTGAATCGATATGATGTAAGTACTGAAACTCCTGTCGGGTTATAAAAGGTGATTATCTCCATACTTCACGTGACAGCCACTTAGTGATGTCATTTCATAATGTCTTTTAATTCACGAAATCTTAAGAGAACTATATGCAATATATATATATATATATATATATATATATATATAAATGCTTATCACCAGTCTAAGAAAGACATTTGAATCACTACCATGCAAAAAATTCATTTTAATATGTGGAAATATATACACTTTGCTTGAAGACGGTCATGAAACCCGAAACTCATGTAGCAGAATTATGGAAAATAGAGGATAATATATATTTTAAAAAAAAAAAATCCACATTTTGACCAAAAACGTTATATATATATATATATATATATATATATAAATAATGTTAGTTTTTTGCATGTCTTCATAGTATAAAAGTCCCTCTAAGAACAAAGAATTTTTGTCATTCCTTTTCCTTTCAGCCATTCCATTTCATCCATGAAGTAAGGTGTTATTATATCATGGATATAATAATTCCCATAATGGCGGAAATACAAATGGGAGAATAAATCTTTCTACCATTAAGCTTTCTCTCCTGTTACACCCCCTAATGATTCACAGGAAAAACCTTGCTGATGATTTGTGCCAGAGTATCCGATAGATGTATTTCACAAAATATGTAAGCAAAAACAATAATATTAAATGTGGTGACATTGGTCAATCAAGAGAAAAATAAAGAAGTTTATATAGTCATAATTGATCTACCAGCATCCATAAAGTTCCTGTAATTGAATTGGTAAGAAACGGCTACCGTGGTGAGATAAGCTTCTGCAAGGCAAAAGTGGATGAAGAATGATTCTTTATTTTCAACCTGTTCTCTTTACTTAACAGCCATTGAGTTATGGTTTCGGAATTGTGATAGAAAGCAAATGAAATCAAAATTAAAGAAATACTATTAAAAAATTCTTAATAATTAACAATGCATAATTTAATAATAATAATAAAATCTAATATAATTTCTCTTATATTAGAAATAATTCTTTTTACTTACTTACATGTTTTACTTACCTCATTGTTTTATTAGCCACTTACACGTTAGAACATTCATGCTAAGCTGTATAAAAGCCAATGTTTCAGAATCATACACTTCTGGAATAACTAAGGTGGGGGTGAAGATTCATACCATTTCCAAAGGAACAAAACATCACTGCTACGTGTTGCATATTGAGGTAAGGAAGTTATTTTCCTTTATACCAGATGCAAACCACTCTGACTCGTTTACTTCTATGTAATTGTTCACTACAATCAGCCACATTTCTCCATCGACTCACCAAGACTTGACAGGATTAGAACTTTGATTTTGTAGTTAAAAAGATTTTCTCCAGAATCACTGTTTTTTAGAAAACTAAATGAAGAAATTGAGTTTTGCCAAGTTATCTGTTCTTTCTCTTAGTAAACTATTTTTTATAAATATGTGGGTAGTGTAACTCCTTCTGTACAAATAGCCTTGGAAAGGTGATGAATCCATCTCTTCTCCCTCCCAGTTAAGGGTTAAATAGCAAAGCAGACTGGGCTTTATAGCAATGCCTGGCAACCAGTCTAGGAGAAGGACAACTCAGAATTCAAAAACGTATCCAACTCTGGTAAGGCACATAAATTAGTCATTGAAAAAATTATTAAGTTCACAATTACCTGTGGCATGGTGGGGTTGGGGATCATGATCTCACCTGAGGTTGAATAAAGGAATAAAAATTTCTTCAAACCATTTAGTATTTACTCAACTTTAGTAGAACCATCACAACTTAGTGATGGAGACTATCAAGCTTGTTTACCATAAATCTATATAATCCATATAATATACATGATTTATATAATTGTATATTAAATTCTCATAAGAGATTTTGATAAGAAACAATACATACCAGAGAAATTGGCTGATTTTGTCCAATCTATCACTCCAGGTCTTTGTAAAAAATATTTTAAAGAACTGGCACTATTTGTGTGACAAATATATGAATTTTCAAAAAATTGAGGCACCTAGAATAGAAAGAGAAAAAACATTTTTAAAATGATATTTGGTATATGTAAAAGTGAAAATAAATAAGAATTGTTTTCAAGTTTCTTGTTCCCCTCAAAAAATGTATTCAGTTTCTAGTTCCCCCTAAATATATTCAGTTTCTAGTCCTCCCCACAAATGTATTGTTTCTAGTTTCCCTGCAAATGTATTGTTTCTAGTTCCCCCCTCAAAATGTATTCAGTTTCTAGTTCCCCCTAAATATATTCAGTTTCTAGTCCTCCCCACAAATGTATTGTTTCTAGTTCCCCCTCAAAATGTATTCAGTTTCTAGTTCCCCCTAAATATATTCAGTTTTTAGTCCTCCCCACAAATGCATTGTTTCTAGTTCCTCCTCAAAATGTATTCAGTTTCTAGTCCCCCCTAAATATATTCAGTTTCTAGTCCAACCCCACAAATGTATTGTTTCTAGTTCCCCTGCAAATGTATTGTTTCTAGTTCCCCTGCAAATGTATTCAGTTTCTAGTTCCCCCTCAAAATGTATTCAGTTTCTAGTCCTCCCCTCAAAATGTATTCAGTTTCTAGTCCTCCCCACAAATGTATTGTTTCTAGTTCCCCTGCAAATGTATTGTTTCTAGTTCCCCCTTAAAATGTATTCAGTTTCTAGTCCCCCCTAAATATATTCAGTTTCTAGTCCTCCCCACAAATGTATCATTTCTAGTTCCCCCCAAAAATGTATTCAATTTCTAGTTCCTCCCCTCAAATGTATTGTTTCTAGTTCCCCTGCAAATGTATTTTCTAGTTCCCCCCAAAATGTATTCAGTTTCTAGTTCTCCCCGCCCCCCAAAAAATCTATTCAGTTTCTAATTCCCCCTCAAAAATATATATTCAGTTTCTAGTTCCCTCCCAAAATGTATTCAGTTTCTACTTCCCCCCCAAAAATGTATTCAGTTTCTAGTTCCCCCACAAAAAATTAACTTAATTTTTTTCTTCAGAAATATAATCAAACAATGAATGCATATAGATATGTAGATACATTTGGAACCATTGTTCCTGTATCTCTGCCTACAACAGATTGTATATGAACACAAGATAATTCTCTCTAAAAAAGTAAACCCATTTTGAGTTTTTTTTTTTTTTTTGCTCTGGTTGCATGGAACACTGTAGTCTGAGGTTGCTGAAGTGATCTTCTGATCACCACTGTCACATCTGTCTGGGACTGCTGATCCACTCTCCTGATCACATGACAAAGACCCGAAAATTTTAGTTTCACATTTTTGTGCTAGTTTCACCAGCCTTCTTTTCCATGCTGGCTTAAGACAACTTGGAAGAGGATGTCATATCCCAACACCAGTGTTGCAAAGATCTATACACAAGCAAGTTTACAGAAGGCTTTTCTCCTTCTCTATGAGAATGGTTTACTCTTGCCAGAGATCAACCTGGAATTTATACCCCCTCCTGTTACGATTTATATCAAAGATTTTCCTTCTTGGAATGCCTGCCTTCACCATGCATCCTTCTACATTATAAAGGAATAGGGCATATTCTAAATTCAAAATAACAATGCCCAATATGATGACAAAGAAGGATACCAATTTGCTTCATTATAATGTTGCTGGAATAACATTATTTAAACTCAAACAGTTGAAGACTATTGCATTTTGCTTATTCAAATGACCATTCTGTCTACTTTCTTTTAAAAACAAAACCAAAAAACATTTAAACTATTCATTACAGGAAAGAGCATCTAGGCTTCAATTAGAAAAAGTCATCAATTTAAAGAATTTTTTCAGGAAGAGAATTAACTGATGCTAAAGCAAATATTTTGATTGAGCAAATAATGTATTTCATTTTAACTTCTTATGCTTAAAGAAACTGGCAAATGAAATAGCTATATGAAACACACACACACTCTAGTTCCCCATTATCCATGTAAAATCTGTTTCAAAGAACCCCAGTTAGTGTTTGAAACCACACACGCACACACAATCAAGCTAGAATTATTTCTAACAACTTTTTAGTTCAATTTTTATCAAATCAGGTTGCAACTGCCAGGAATCTTTGTTTGTTTGGGGTGAAATCAATATCAGTATATGCTGTGTGGTGGGGTGAAATCTGTATCAATATAGGAGAGCTGATCACATAATATATATATATATATATCACAATGAATCATTCAGACGAAAAGTAGATTAGTAAAGTTAATGATATAAAATGGCGAAATCCCTTCACAAACAAAATTTTAAAGGTGCATTAACCTATCAATCACTCGATGATCCTTGTTTTATAAAATTATAAGCTGTATAAAATCTTTCTTTAATATGCAAGTACTTTCAACTGTACATTCAGTCATCTTCAGGCATGGAAATTATTTTGTTTTTGGTAAAATTCAGGTAGCATCCGAGACCAAAAAATATAATGTGAGTTGAAATATATATTTTTTTTAAAATGCATTATTGTTAACAGATACAAACTTTTTGAGCATGCAGTCACAATGCTAAGGTTGAATTTTTTTTTTTGAAAATTTAAGAGAGTGTATTTTTACTATGACAATTTGAGAATTTTTTTTTTGTTGTAGGAGTTTATCAGTCAATGTGGCATGAACTAAATAGTTCAATAAATAGAGTAATGTCTCAGTTGTTATCCTGAAAATTTTTTGTATGAATGATTCATTGTAATATAAATTAAACTGCACCACATATTTGATTATTTTATATATATATATATATATATATATATATATATATATATAAATAATATGCTAAATGAAAACTTCATGAATATATGAATGTTGAAAATGATCATTACATATATGTGCACACTGGATGAGATCAGCATATGAATCTTTGGTAAAATCTATAACAGTATACACTTGCTGGGGGGAATCAGTGTAGCAGTGCTGAATGTGATTGTTATCAGTATATGATTGTTGGATGTGATCTGTTTATATATGTCAAATGAGATCAATATCGTTATATGCCTCTCTTACAATATTAATATCAATATCATTATATGCCTTATAGGCTAAATTAATATCATTAAATGTCTTTTGTGCTATATTAATATTATATACCTTTTTTTGCCATAACAATATCATTATATGCCTTTTGTTCTATATTAATATCCATATCATTATATGTCTTCTCTATTATATTAATATTATTATATGCCTTCTGTTATATTAATATCAATTATATACCTCTTGTGCTATTATATGCAGCCTCTGTCAGAATCAATGTACTGGTTGAAATCAGCATAACTGTATATATATATATATATTGGCATGGGACAAATGAGATTATCTTGTATTAGTTTTCCAAATTGGTAAGGCTTTCATTCCTTAAAAGGTACTCAAAACCCTGGCTTTTCCTGTCTTTTACAAGACCTAATCCTGCAAAGACATTTCTAAGAGAAATATTATCCAATTTTGAATGTTTGTTGGAATGTCCTAATGTTATTGAAGAAGAGATTAAAAAATAAACTCCAATGTTTGGTAATTTGGTCTGATTTTGGGAAATGGGTTGGACTGAAAACTTTTCAGCACCTCTACAGGTTAATGTTCTATACAACATTAACTGACTAAAAATTATCAACCCCAAAATGCAACCCAACTTTGAGCTAGAAAATAAAAATTTTACTTTTAAATCTAGAAAACTTGGGTTAAATTTTCAATATTTATTTTCACAAAAAATACCATATTCCAAACATGGAAATGCAAGATGGAGTACCAATTTTCAAACAAGGATAAAAAATTGATTAATTTTGAAGAGGAGTTTACATACAATAGTTATTTATTAAGTTTAGATTAGTCTGGAGTATGTGGAGCACCTACGATTAAATTTGATGCACTAGCAAATTCATCCATATGATTTGTTTACTAAAGCTCAGGCCATGGTAGGGTGTCCAGTTAATTTGTTTTAAAATATGGAAAAATGTTTAATATCAATTTGACTATCAGTAATTTATTTATACATTGAAGTATGAAAACTTTACTACCATTGACTTATGGTAAGAATGATAGCTACTGTCTCATAACAACTGTTCATATCAGAGTTAGACGCATGTAAGCAGCCTTTTAAGTACTTGATTTTTATGTCTTGAATACTCCAGTTATGGCCAAAGAGAAAATTATTTTGAAAGCATATAGATGACCAATGCCTTATTAGGCAGGTGATCATTATATGCCTTATGGGCTAAATTAATATAGTCTTCAGTTACTGGGTATAGATTGGCCATTACATAATTTAAATTTAAAAAATACATCATAATGTTGACATAGATGTAGATTATACTGAGATTACAGTGTTTTAATTTTAAAAAATTATATTTGGCATTTAAAAAAATGGTATATATATGTGTGTGTGTGTGTGTGTGTGTGTGTGTGTGTGTGTGTGTAAGGAAAAAAGAAATTTTTTTTATTTTAGAGTTGTGCATATTAATTTTTTTATTAAAGAAGAATACTTGTTCCGTTTTTTATTTTATAAAATAAATCTGGATTAACATGTTTAAGTAGATATTTATTTTTATGCCTACATGCAACCATCAACTCATTTCTCTTATCTAATAAGCTAGGGTTATTTAAGTGTTTTAAGATAACCAATTTTTCCACAAGACTTAAGTTACATTCATTTCCTTTCTTGTTATAAGATTCATCTCTTGTTATAATATGCCAGTTGTTTGATAAGATGCCATCATTCTTTAGTTGCCAAAAATATTTAGAAAGAGCAGTGCTATTTTTGTATTTTATATTACATAAGGCCATTCAATTAAGGTAAAAATTAAATGTCCAAGGATTTTCAGTGGAATTAAAATAAAATTTAATATTGTTACCAGAATGTATGCTCGCTTGGTATGCAATATTCTCAGTCATACATTGACCATTTAAGGGACAGATTATAATTTTTCAGCAGTTGTATTTGTTTTTAGAAATATATTTGTTTAATATCATGATGTTATGTTGGAATATGGTTTTATCTATGTTATCAATGCAGCTATGGCTAATTCTAACATTATTTTTGTTAAAAATCTTTTTTAGTGTTGGTAAATTGTTATTAAAAGGTGTATTAAACCATATGGTGTTACGCTTACGGTGTTTCTGTTTATTTTTACCTTCTTTGTTTTTTTCTAAATACTCTAAATTTATTTTATGATTGCTTAGTTCTGAAGACTTTATATGTTTAATTTTATTATTATCAAATATTTACTTATTGCTGGGGTTGGTAGATAATCTAACTTGGACTGATTTATGTAAATTATCTAAAATTTTGTGGTGGTGGTTTCATTCTTTACTGACATATCTATGGTTAGATAGCTTTTTGATATATGGTTTGTAATAACCATTATTGAAGTCTAAGGTCTTGACAAGAAAGTTGATCATTTTAACATTGGTGGTAGTGGTAAAATTTAATTTGTGATCTTTTATCAATTCCTTTCTCAATCAGTCTATATTTCATGGGCTTGTTTTACAGAGGAGAATTGCACCGTCATCTCTATAGAGTCCAGTGTTCTTAATGCCAAAAGTAAATCTAAGTCTCCACAATAATAATATTCCAACTAATTCATATGCCTCCATTGAATCAAATACTCCCATAGCAATATTAAACTCTGTGTTACTTCTTTTGGTCCACAGGTAACCATTATGGAATAGTATAGATTTTTGTGCTTGCTTTATGATACTTATTTCACAATCGCTAATAGGGCAGTAATTTTTTGCTAGATTTACAGCAGCCATTAACAGATTCTTGATGATTGGCAGGTAAAAGGGTCACAAATATCAAATTGAATGAGTGTACATTCATTCTTCCTTTTTTATATTAGTAAACCATTCTATGGCTTCTGCTGTCTTATATCACTGGTTAATTTCTAGAGCATTTTTAGTGTATTTGCATGCTCTTTCAAGGATGTTTTTGCTGATTTTACTGATATTATTTCTAGTTAGGTTCAGTAATCAGTATTGAGAGTTGTTTAGGAAATTTACCTTGTGGTCTTTACAGCTACATTTAGCCAGCTTAACTGTAAATTGATGAGATCTCGACACTAGTCTAGTGCTGTGCTTAAATTCAAGAACTCTATGTACGATAGCAGTTGAGCTGCCAGATCAAGACCAATAATATTGCAGATTCTTCTTTGGATCTTATCAAGGAGCTCAAGGTAAATAGCAAGGGCACCAAACCATATGTGACAGCAATATTCTAAGCATGGACAAATGATAGACTTATAGATAGCAAAGATAGATTCTGGAGAGAAGAATTGTCTTCCCAACATAATGAACTGACTTTCTTAGCAGTTGGCCGAGCAACGGATTTAATATAGTCTTTCCACTTCATGCCAGTTCAGAACATTAGCCTGAGAAGGCACAATGAGTCACTTTCCTGGAGATTAGCATCAGACATGCAGACAGAAGACAGAGGGGGGGCCTCTCCGATGATTAACAGAAAGAAGTTTAGTTTTGGAGGCATTAAAATTAACAAGCCATCTTTTGCCCCAGTTACCAGCACAGAGATCAAAAATATACCCTCCCAAAAAGAATTGAACTTGTATTTCATTTAATCCAGGGAAACCACCTTCAAACCAAGCACATCTTACAACTAAGCTTCAGGAGGTCCCATTAAAATAAGGTCCAACTAATCAATTTAGAAATGCACATCTCTTGTTGGTTTCTTCTGAAGCTAATATCTGTTAATGATTTTTTCATAGCCAAAATGTAAACCAAGTAATTTTAAGCAATTAATAATTAATTAGTAATTAATGGATTTTTTAAATCTGACATAATTACTTACATTATTTACATTATTTGAACTGTTATCCTCATCTTCATTTGCATATTTACAACGTTGCATGCTCCGGCCTTCTTCAGGTGATTGGAATTTTGAACCGAACCCTTTATTTCATCCACTTGAGTAGGTTGTTCTAGTTCCATGTGCCATGCCTCTTGTGGATGTTTCAGTTATTTCCCTTTAACTCAACTCTCCAAGTTTGGTTCATCACTGGCATGGCATGGTATTTAAGTGGACGGAATAAAGGGTTTGGTTTAAAATTCCAATCACCTGAAGAAGGTCAGAACATACAACAGCCAAAACATTGGGAATATGGCAATGAAGATCAGGATAACAGTCTGAATAATGTAAGTAATCATAATATCTTATCTCAGAGATATAGACAGATACTGACAAAATTAGTTATTGCTATAAATGTAATATCTAATGAGTATATGTGTTTGAGTTAAATCTTTTTTTTTAAAATGGTGAAATTGAAATTGAATATCTAGTCAGTTATTCAGACTGTGAATATTAAATTTTGCTGTTTAATAAAACAAAGATGTCTACTTAAATACGTGTACCCACTAAAAATAACGCTTATAGTAATAAGAAATAATGTCACATTAAAAAAAAATCTATGAATTGTTTAAATATAAAATTCCATAACCATGATTCAACAACAGCTGTGTTAACCACAAATCCTTCCTCAAATGATTTCTCTGGGGTGACGCATGATTTCAGAGACAAAACATCCGTCTGATGAACCCAAAGCACCAAGTAGTACCACCTGATTTTGTTGGGTTTTTTTTTTCTATCACAAAGTTTAAATTCCAAATGAAAGTGTGGCTCCCACGTATATTCTTACATTCACTACTTTCTAGTCGATGTTCATGAATCCAGAAATGAAATAACCATTTAATGTTTTCAGATTTTAATGAACCAACCAAATGATAATGTTAATATGCTGGGCAATTAATGTGATTTTCAAATGAGAAGTCAAAATAACATTCTACATGTCCAATCTTAAATGATTGGCACTCATCATATTTTTAAACTGTTAGCTTGTGTTGATGATCAGAAGAATCCTGTGTACCATGGTTTTTACAGATAAATTATTGAAAAATAAAAACAAACTTGCAGAAAAATTATGGTTGAATAAATGAATTTGTTTAAATGTTATATTGAAAGAAAAAAAGAAATGTTGATGATTGGATGAATAATAATACTATGGATTTTATGTAAGCAAATAAAACTATGGATTTTATTAGTAAATATTACTATGGAATTTATGCAAGTACATAATACTATGGAATTTATGTGAGTAATTAATACTATGGATTTTATATGAATAAATAATATGGATTAAATAATACCAATTATTCAAAAACCTTTTAAAAAGATGGCTGGAATCTTTTGCATCGTCTTAATATGATGGTCTAAACAATTGAACTAAAAGCTGGATACTCTGATGACTAAATAATGATGCTAATGATTTTGTCACAAAAAAAATAATAAAATAAATAAAAAAAGGATAAAAAAAAATTTTTTTCTAAAATCTGCAAATTTCTAATACAAAAAAAAACAATATTTTCTTATTCTCTGAGGATCAATTTATTTTAAATCATGGAACTAATTCTTTTCATTCATGAATAATTAAAGTGAATTATACTGCCAATGGAGTGGGGTGATTACAGGTAGCTAAAGTATATGTTCTGCAAGTTACCTTTAAGAAAAATAAAGTTTAAACTTGGAAAATAATCTATAAGAAAAAATATAACTTACATACCTCCTTATTTGCTTCTGGTCGTAAAACAATGCATGTCCAATTTGGCCATTTGTCAACTAAACACTCAAAATTTGGTAACAATCCTTTCAACATGTGACGCACTGTGTAAAATATCTGCAAAAGAAAATTTAACTTTAAGATTTGGGCATAAAGTTAAAAAAAAAAAAAAAAAAAGGGATCAAAAATTTCTAAGAACCACATGTGTATTGTCCATTGTTTATTTAAAAATCTTCATGTTTAGAACAAATCTTTTTTTACAAATAATGGATCTGAAGTGAGAAGATTTATTTTGAAAGAGAAAAAGTAGGCAATATATTGACTATAGGAAAAGAAAAAAGAAATGGTAGAATGGAAAAATAAAATAAAAAAAAGACAATTCTTTGAAAGTGAAGGATCAGATTTATTGAAAGATTTCAGAAAGCTACTAAACAATAGACAACCTAATAAAAAAAATAAATTCTCAACTTACAGATACTCACACACATGATTAATCCAACTTCCAATCATAGTGTATTCAGTAGTTAATATATATAGACAGGCAGACATGGGATTCCCCATAACATTTACATGCTTCTTCCTGGCTTGAGAGAGGAGTTTCTTGGGCATAAACAGATTTTTGTTATTTTATCAATCTCCATGAATCTTATTTTCAGCACAGTTGAGAAAAGTTGGAATTTGAGTTCTAAGACAGAAAGAGAGAGCCAGAGGAATTATTAGCAGCAGTTATTAGCAGGTTGCTGCTGGGTAATCCTAGGAGGAGAAGAAGATATTAGCAGCAGAAATTAGGAGGATGTTGTTGTTGTTGGTGTGATTGAAGTCAAATAAAAGTCAAGTATGATTATCATGAACTGCTAATAAAGGGTGTAGCAGAAATAGCTTCCACTATAGTGGCATGAGGCATAGGGGTTAAAATGAACAGTTGATTTACCCATGCCAAGAAGATTAATAAAGGATGGTAATCATGAGGAAACACATGGGTAATTTGAACAAAATAAGATAAGGAATTTATTCATGAATTTACATGCTTAAAGTAGTATAGTAGCTTGTTTCATGAAAATTTGAATTCTTAAAGTTCATAGTTTTAATGTATAGTCATGAAGAGGAAATGTTCATACAACAAATTAAATGATCTGACATAAAATAATATTAAAATTGTTCAAAACAAAGCTAAGAAGGTTTGTTACTCACTGAAGTGATATACAGTTGCATAGGCTCAAAAGTAGGCATAGAGAGATAGTTTGAAATATTTAGCTTGGAGTGTTGAGAGAAAATTCTTTGAAGTGTTACATACTGGTTAGAGGATCATAATATAATTGGCAAATAATTTGACACAGGCATGAATTTCAATGCTGGTCACAAGGAACTGAAACAAAACCTGTCACATGACTTCCAACACTGATAAATTTTTCTCATTTTATATATAAAAAAAAAATTTGTACAGGTTCGCTACTTTATTTTTTTTTTCTTGGCTGACCAGTTAATTTCTTTTAAGGCAAGGTTTTCATTGGTCCAAAACTAATTTCACATAGGCTTGAAAATTCCTTTCACTCTTCTTTCTCAGTCCTCTGAACTTGAAAGCAGTGCATGAAGGGAGTTATTATTATTTCACATTTTAAACTGGCACCTGTGTAGTGCTGGTGAACTTAGGCAGGTGGCAATGATGTTTTCATCTAGCTAATACTTTACCATTTCTTTTTAGATAGCATCAGAGTTACCATCATGGCTTGGACCAGTGGACATCATGCATTTGATGCTGTTGAAAGATTTAAGATTGATGAATTGGTAATTGCAACCTAGAGAGATTTTTTGTGCTCATTTCATATCATGTCAGAATAATGATCTTGTGGATAGAAAATCGATACTGCTATAGGTTGAACATTTCAAGGCTACAGGTTCAGCACTTAAAAGAAAGCCACCTAGACCTTGAAGCACTCAAACTTCCAGGTAATGGAAAACTTTAGAAATTGTCTGCAATAGTGTATGGAAAATCAAGGCCACCATTTGGAGGATGTCATTTTTAAAACCAAATGAGTAAAATCTGTAGCCATTTGTTTAAACAACAGTGAAATAAATTTTTTATAGCAATTACCTTTGCTTTTTTGTTAACCTTAAAAATGTGGAAGGTATTTCTGCTGTACACTGTACTATAAGATGCTTGGAGAAAAGTCTACAATGCCTATGACAATAACATATAAAAAACAAAATGACATTGAAAATATTCATTTGGAGCCATGATGCAAAGAATTAAAATATATCTTATCTAAGAAACAGTAATTGTATAATCAGTGAAAGTTGTTGAGAATCACCATTTTTCAACAATTATTAAAAGCCACTCCAAGAAGCTGGTTTTTTGAACATTGATTATTTTTTTCAGTGTATCAGATCTGTCTTTGGACAAGACAAAGTGGAAAGCACTTCTAACTATTATCATTTTTTAAACTATTTTGTGGAAAAAAACAAAAAGAGAAAATAATTATATTCACTTTTGATTTGTATTTTGACGTTAGTCTTGTTAAACATACTGCAATCATACATGAATTTTAAAATTTCTCTTGTTAACTTGTTTTTTGCATTCTGTAACTGTTAAGTAGCTTTGATTAAAAATAAACAAGGTGTCTCTGACAATATTTGAATTCACATTTCATCTTAGCCTGAAGAAGAAAAAAAAAATGAATAATTTACACAGAAACCAGAATAAATGCCAGATTGACACCAGTCGATAATGTTTCTCTTTCTTTTATATCTTTTTCTCTAAACACTGATCCAAAAGAGAGATTCAACAGACAGAATAGAATGAATTCAATATAAATGAGCTTTAATACCCAAATTAACTACAGGAACATGACGGGATCACAATTATATATAACTATCAAAGTTAATGTGGGATATGGTTGACAGCACTATGAGAATCTTATCTTTGTCTGACAAGAACCTCCCATAGTGGGTTACCCAGTATGAATCTCTTTACCTGAGCAATGATCAGAGAAACAAAACAGAGGGGTTCAGGATAGCCAAGTGATTGTACCTGATAATGAAATGTCAGAATTGAAAAGATAAATGGAAGAAGTCATGATAACTAAGTCTTTGTCCAAAAAACTAATAAACTTTGCTTTGGGTATTCATGTAATTAATAGCTGCATTTTAGAGGGACCTTTTATTGTTTGGTTTTGTTGATTTCAAATCCATCTTGGGTGTCAGGATGCAAAAAAAAAAAAAAAACTCTAACTATTGATCCAAAAAAGGCATTGAACAGACAGAATCAAACAAATGGGACAAATTCAATATATATAAGCCTTAATATCCAAATTAACCAGAGGAACACAATGAGACTGCTCTGCAACTAGAGATGACTGTCATAGCCAATGTGGGACATGGTTGACAATTCTGTGAAGATTTTGTCTTACAACGGTCTACTATAGTAGATTACCCAGTATGAATCAAGCTCTTTACCTGAGTAATGAGCAGCAAAACAAGACTATTAATCATTACTTGATATTCAAGAATTCAGATGATCACAAAGATTATGCAGGTACCGTATATCAACACTGAAGTACCCAATGAGGTTAGAAAATACTACAATAGCAATGGCTTGTGACACAGGCTTGGACATCATTATTTCAGAGTTAGGTGTCTACTATATTTAATAATCTGAGCTTGGTACATCACAGAGCTACAAGTTTGGGAAAAGTACTGTATTGATAGGCTACCTTGTTAAACATGATACCATAAATTCATTTACAAGAATGAGTATAGTCTGGCTCAAGGATGAAACTTATTAATCAGTTGAATGAAGGAAGATGATATGAATGTTTCACGACTAGTGAAGTTCATCAGTTCATATAACCTCACTATAACAACTATTGCAAATAGCATGAAATGCAGTTATTGACATGGTTGGGGGGATAGGTTGGCATAGTCACACTATTTCTCATCCAAATTTCTCATGGTTTGCTTAGTATCTAGCAGTAGTAGTTGTAGTAGTAATAGTAGTTGTAGATATAACAATCTTAAGTTGACTGATACATGCAGCTTACTAGAATGTAAGAAAAGCCTGTGTGTTGCAATTTAAAAAAAAAAACAACAATAAGATTCAAGATAAATTTGTAAAAATAATAATAAAAAAAAAACAAAATCTGTTGGTTACACTCTGCAGTAGGAATGACTGCAAAAACATCCCCTTCTCCAAATTTATAAACAAAATACACAGATGCATGCTGGGATTTCTTCCTAACCAATAAGACAGATCACTTCTTTGTCTCATCCAACTTTGTTCTATTTTTACTTGTCTTGAAGTCAGAATGCTGTGATCGCTTGTCTGTATCCCTTTTATATGTTAACACCATTCTTAGTTTTTGAACATTTTTGCCTAATTGCTTTGCTTACTTTTGCCTTACATATATTGTCTGCTTAAGATTATTTGTAATCTGTTCTTTTCTGTTTGTTGGGTGTTTCTGCCAATTACATTTAATCATGGCCAATTACTCTACATTTACAATGCATTTCTATAGACAAAATATACAGATGCATGATGGGATTTCTTCCTAGCCAATAAGATAGGCTACTTGTTTGTCTCATTCAACTTTAGTTCTATTCTTTCTTGTCTTGAAGTCAGTATCCCTTTTGGGTGCTAACACCATTCTTAGTTTTTGAACATTTTTGCCTAATTGCTTTGCCTACTTTTGCCTTACATATATATTGTCTGCTTAAAATTATTTGTACCCTGTTCTTTTCTTTCTTTTCTTATTGCTAATTTTGTCAATTCTGTTTGTTGGGTGTTTCTGACAATTACATTTAATCATGGCCAATTACTCTATAATATCCATATATTTTTTCTGCTCTACTTTCACATCCATATTTTCTTAAAGAACTGTTAAGAAAATTAATGTTGTCAAAAATCATTATCTTAAAGATTAATGTTTTACTCATAAAAGTGCACTCATAAATTAAATGACATATTTGCCAGATATGACACATAATTAAATTTTAAAAAATAAATCCCAAGCAATACAAATATATTGTATCTAATGCACTGGTATTAGAACTCAGAGGTCATTGTAACTACGTACTGATTTCAAGAAATAACGTCCACACTTCATAGTGAGGTTATGCTTTTA